GCAGAGGAAAGGATCAGAAACAACCCATCAGAAAGGGAGGGATGGAGGGATCGCTGAGCTCCCAACAGGACTGGGACCAGTGGGACCTGGAGGCAGCGAGAGGAAAGGAAATCACATCCTACTTGACATGCAGATATGCAGAGAAGCTTTTTGCAAAGTGGGTGATGTCATCGTGTTTTTCTGAGCCTTCAGGACAGCGAGAGAAAAATAGATGAAAGCAGCACATGCAGAGGAGTCTGTAAGACGAGCAGACTTCCCCCCGGCCCGCCCCATGCAACGCTAATTGCTCCAATATTGATCCGGGAAATCATTKGTGAGGACTAAAGGAGGAAAATAAACACTTCCCTCTTAGGAAGCAAAAAGGGCAGCGCTCTTGTGGAGCTGCTGGAAAGGTCCAGGTGATCAGAGAATTTCCAGAAYCACGAAAGTTAATCTAAGCTATTGACTCAATTAGCTGTTGGTYCAGTCTGTTATTGTTTATACTGGAAAGCACAGAACAGCTGCAGTGTTTTATTTTTCAGGGTACCTCATGAGGTCTAGTTGGAATTACAGCAGGGCTGGTTGTCCCAAGGGCCAGGCAGGTGAGGGATGTAAGGATCATAACTGGCCTTGGTTGGTGAACAGCAACAGCTTCAGAAGGGGCTGTGACACCCCAGGACTGGGCTGGGGGTGACAGGAACCCCAGGCTGAGCCYTGGCAGGGAAGGAGCAATTGGGATAAAAACCCAAACCAGAACAGTGAGCACTGCTAACCCCTGGCACAAACACTGAGCCCCAGGAAAAGCAGCAGCTCTGCTCAGCTTCTGGAGCTGCTTTGCTTCCCCAAGGAAAGGAAAACCACCATGCCACAAAATGTAAGAGCTACTCCAGAAAATATCAGCACCTCGTCATCTTCTGGAGTAAACCATGACAGAAGTGAGCACCAGAGTCCTCTGTGTTAAAAATGGATGTTGTGAGTACACCAAAGTACAGGAAGAATACTACCAGAAAAACAAAACCAAGAATCCACCACCAAACTATCGAGATAGATTGGAAGAGTGATAAAAATAAGCCTGAACATGCAAAAAYGCAAAAACAGTGATTGCAGGAAGGGGAGAAAGCATCCACGAAGCCTGCAGTATTTCTTTGGGATATCCAGGTAAATAACCACAGGAACCAGGAGAATCCGGTCCTTTAAAATCTGTTCTAAGGTTAGAGGGAAATGAACGCAGAGTTTTATTTCATAACTGCCCAATAAATAGTTTTTCATTCAATAGAGGGCAAATCCCTCCGTGCTGCACTTTGTGCACAAGGCTTTACCCAGTGGGTGAGCTGAGCCCAGCCCAGC